CGACAAGGTGGTCGTATGTTAGCTGTTTCAATGAGTGAAGAAGAAGTGCAAAATAAACTTCTTAAAGGTATTGAACATTTAGCTTGTATTGCTGTTGTTAATAGTCCTCGTTCAGTAACAATAAGTGGTGATGAAAAAACTATTGATGAAATACAACAAATTCTTACCATATCTTATCCTAATGTATTTAAAGCACGTCTTCGTATTGAAAATGCATTTCATTCATATCAAATGAATCGATTTGATATTGAAAAAGAAATGCTCTCATCCTTGAAAGATATTCGAGGACTTCCAATACAAGATCAAAAACAAATTTTTGATCCAGTATGTGCAAAAGCAAAACTTTATTCAAGTGTTATTGGTGAACAAATGAATGATAATATACCAGTTGATGGTAAATATTGGTGGTCAAATGTGAGACAAGCTGTAAGATTTTATGATGCTATAACAGCAATTATAAAAGATGAAGCAGCAAATGTTTTTATTGAACTTTCACCACATCCAGTTTTAACTACATCTATTCGTGAATGTTATGAATTAACAAATCAACAACAACAATCACCACTTATTCTTCCAACATTAAAACGAAAAGAAAATGAACAAATAACATTACTGACTAGTTTAGTACAACTTACAACATCATCTCATGTATGGCAACAATATTTTCATACTCGTCAAATTTTACCTATGAAAAATCATGAAGAATATTTTGATAATTTTCCATTATATAAATTTCATTTGAGTTCATGTTGGTATGAATCAAAAGATTCTGCTATACAACGTTTAGCTAATCGTATACCGACTCATCCATTACTTGGCATTCGTCAATTAGTTGATCAAACAAGTGCAACATGGAAAAGTCTTATTAATATTAATTTACCACAACATTCTTTTTTAAAAGATCATAAAATTCAAGATGCAATTCTTTTTCCAGCAGTTGCTTATCTTGAACTTGCAACAGCTGCTTGTCAACAATTACTTTCATCAAAAGAAGATGATCAACAACAAGAACGACAACCAACAATTATTTTTGAAGACATTAATTTTATTAAAGCACTTGTTCTTAATGAACATGAATTAATAGAAGTGTTTACACAAGTAATTATGCCAATGCGTGAATGGTATATTTATAGTCGACCGTGGTCAGCAGCTGGTCCAGATTGTATGCGTCCATTAGGTATGAGTTGTACTGATGTTGTTGATTCTTTTCGTGACCAAGATAATCTTAATAAATATTCATTAAATGAATTTACTTTACATGCACAAGGTAAAATTGAAATAGATTTTAAAGAACAAAAATCATTAACAATACCTCCTCTTAATACAATTAATAATACATGGTCAACACAAGATATAACAAGTGCTTATGCACATCTTTCAACACGAGGTTATCAATATGGATCCTGTTTTCAAAAAATAAAAACATTGCGTGGTACTACAACTACAGTTATATCTCAATTATCAAATGATAATAATGATTGTTCATCTTATTATTTACTTCATCCATCTGTAATGGATTCTTCTCTTCATCCATTTCTAGTTTTATTACCAGGTGTTGAAACAACATTTCTTCCAGTACGTATTCAAAAATTTATTTATTCAACTAAAACAAAAACAAAAATGAATCAATCAACAAATGTTGAAGTACGTGGAATCTATCATGATAATATATGTGGTATAGGTCAAGAAGGAACATGTAGTTTTGATTTATGGATATTTCCAATGGATAACAAAATCCAAGAATCAGTATTTACATTTGAAAGTATGGTTCTTCAACAAGTTCAAGGTGTACAATCTGGTCGATGGTCAATGGAAAAAACAATTTATGATAAATTAAATTTACCAGCTGATTTACCTAATGCTGATCATTCATCATATTTAAATACAATTATAAAAGATTATTGTATGAAAAGAGTGTGGACTGATTCACCAATAATAAAAGATATATCACATTTACTTCCATCACCTAATCAAATTCTTAATTATCAACTTAATTCTATTAGTAATCAAGATTTAATTGAATCAATCGAACCATTTAATGAATTAGCTGCTTATTATGCTCAAATGGCAATTAAAGATCTTGATTTAAATCATATTACTCAACAACAAGCACATCATCCATTATTAAATGCATGTCGTTCTCTTGCTTCAACCTTACATTCGGAACAAGTAGTAACATGGCATTTAGTACAACTTCGTCTTATTGAATTAATTGAACGTTTTCCTCGTTTAAAACCATTTTTAATCATATTAAATAAACATGGTTTACATTTAAAAGATATTCTTAGTGAAGAAAAAACTGGATTAGATATATTTTTTGGCGATGATGAAATTGGACAAACTTTTCAACAAATTAAAACTCTTCTAAGTGCAACTAAAACACAACAAATTTTTCATTCGATATGTCAACATTTACAATTACAATATGAACAAACTAAAGATAATTCATTTGAGAATTATCGATTACGTATATTATGGTTAACTGATAGTCATTGTTCAGATGTTTTACCTATTCTTGATCTTTTCATTAATTTATCACAGCAAACAGGTTTATTAATTGATTTACATTATGTAGATTCTGATCCAATACAACTTGCAAATGCTCAACAAACATTTAATACATATATAACCAATCAAACAAACTTATCTATTATTTATGATCAAACAATTGATTTATATGATAGTAAAACACTTGAAAAAATACCATTCGAATCATTTGATATTATATTTTCTGCAAATCAACTTCTAGGAAATCAAGATTTAATAAATTCTTTAATTGATCTTCGTCGCTTACTTGTCCCTAATGGTCTTCTTTTATTACTTGAATTAGTTCATGTTCCTCTTTATTTTGATCTTATTTTTGGTTTTATTGATCAATGGTGGTCATCATCTGATGATAATAATCGTGCATTAACTAATATTCAACAATGGACAACATTAGTAGAACAAATCCAAGGATTTAATATTATTGAATCAACAATAAATGAAAATGAAAGTACATTAATTATTAGTCAAAAAACAATATCAAAAGAAATATTACAAACACTTGATGAAAGAAAAAATCAAATATGGGTAGTATTTACTAAAGATGATAATAATAATAAAAATAGTTTTAGTCATATTCTATCATCATTGTTACCATGTTCAAATATTAAAATTTTTGATATACGTAATTCAAATTTAGATATGATTTGTTTTGGAATACCAGTTCTACTAACTACTTATAAACAAATATCTGTTATTTTTGCATGGCAACTTAATCAAGTATTACTTAATGAAAATAATGATGATTTAGCATTTAAACAAAATGAAGAACTTCTATGTGGATCATTATCACGTATTCTTCAAACAATTCAAAAATCATCACCACACTTCTATCCATTTGTATATGTTCTTACAGATCATGCTCAATTTAATAATAATTCGAATCTTAATATTATTGCATCACCATTTATTGGTCTTGCACGAAGTTTAATAACTGAGTATGAACGACATAGATTAAAACTTATTGATCTTCAAACATCATTAAATAATAATAATAATAATAATAATCAATCAACATTTCTTCATACTTTAATAGAATATATGATTAACTCAAGATATTCAACTGATACTTGTGAAGTTGTTCTTCGTCTTAATGATACAGATCAAAATCAAGTTCAACATTTAACGTGGTATTATGAAATGTTACAAAAATCTACTGATGACGAACAAGAGAAATCTAAATTAGAACAAATTTCTATTATTCCTAAACGAGATGCTGATCAAAAACCATTTCGTATTTGTGTACCGCAATCTCGTTTTCTTTCTGAATTAACATGGATTGGAGAAGATAGAGAAAAAGACTTATTACCAGGTGTGGTAGAAGTTCGTGTTCATTGTGTTGGTATTAATTTTCGTGATGTACTCAAGTCACGTGGTCTTTATCCACATACACGTACTTTTGCACAATCTGATGAAAATCAACCAAAAGTTAATCAAGATACAGAACCAGGTTCAGATTTTGTTGGTACTATTGTACGTGTAGGTCCTACAACAACTAATTTTCAAGTTGGTGATCATGTTGTAGGTGCTACTAGTCATGGTACATATCATTCTCATATTATGATTAATTCACAACTTATAATACGTATTCCATCTGATTTTCCTCTTACTGATGAACAATTATGTGGTATGCCAACTCCACTTTTAACAGTTATATATTCTCTTAAATATCGTGTTCATTTGCAAGCTGGTCAAACTGTTCTTATTCATGCTGCAACAGGTGCTGCAGGTCAAATGTGTATTCAATATTGCCAATATATTGGTGCTCGTGTTATTGCTACAGCTGGAACTGAAGAAAAACGACGTTTTCTTCATGAATATTATGGTATTGAACATGTATTTAATAGTCGAGATACTTCTTTTGTTAATGATATACGTCGAATTCTCCCACAAGGTGTTGATGTTATTGTTAATTCATTATCAGGTATTTTATTGAAAGAATCAATTAAATTATTAGCATATCATGGTAATTTTGTTGAATGGGGTAAACGAGATATTTATCATGATAGCAATTTATCAATGTTTCAATTACGATCAGATTGTAGTTTTCATGTGATTGACTTCGCTGGACTTGCTGATCATGTGTCACCTCTTATTCGTCTTATGCTAGAAGAAGCAATTGACTTATTTGTTCAACGTAAATTACGTGCTGTTGAACCAACAGTTACTTATGAACCACCTCAAGTAATAGAAGCATTATTAAGATGTAATAGTGGGCAAGTTATGGGTAAAACAGTTTTTCGTATAAGTTCATCTGATCAACCATTAAATATTAATAAAAAACAATCTACTAGTTTATTAAAAGGTAATCATCTCTTACACATATTTTCTTTCAATTATTATTATTTTTTAATTAATAGTTGTAAGTGATAATAGAATGTTTCCATCAGAAGTTTGTAATGAAGGAACAATATTAATATCTGGTGGTTTTGGTGGTCTTGGTTTAACAATGTCTCGATGGATGATTGAACAACGAGGTGTTAAACATATAGCACTTATGAGTCGTCGAACATTAGTTGAACTTGAGAAACCTTCGAATCCACAATATGATGATTGGTTAAGATTAAAACGAACAACAAAAGAATATAATGCTCATGTTGATGTTGTTCAAGCAGATGTAACAAATTTTCAACAAGTTTATGATTTAATTGAAAGATTTCAAAAAACTTCTTATCCTATCCGTGGTATTATTCATAGTGCTGTTGTCTCAGAAGATCGTACTTTAGGTAATTTAACACAAGAACATTTATCACTTGTTTTACCACCAAAAGTTCGTGGTGCATGGTATCTTCATCAAGCTACACAACTTCTTCATGCACCTATTTATTTCTTTATTATGTTTTCATCAATTCGAAATCATTTACTTGAAGTTTCATCTGCTGGTTATAATGCTGGTAATCAATTTCTTGATGCACTTGCTCATTATCGTTTTGCAAAACTTAATTTACCAGCACTATCAATTAGTTTACCAGCTGTAAGTGGTGCTGGAATGTTTCATCGTCATAAAGAAATGCTCAGTACTTTGAAAGAGACACAAGGGTTTGAATTAATGCCAACAGTAACTGTATTCAAATTAATTGAATGTTTTCATCGAACTCAAAAGATTTGTCCATGTCCTGTTATTTTTGCTGTTAATTGGCAAATATTACATCGAAATTATCCAACATTAGCTACATCTTATTTAAGAAAAATCGTAGATCAACGTTATAAAGAAATGAAATTTGATCAAATATCATCGACATCATCAGGAAAAAATAACTCAGCTGAGTCTACTATGAATAAAAAAGAAAGTATTATTGAACGAACTCAATCTGTTGTTGCAAGATTATTAGGTGCAGTTAGTGTTGATCGTATAGTCATTGATCGTTCACTTGTTAGTCAAGGTATGGATTCATTAGCTGCTGTTTCATTATATAATTGGTTAGGTCAAGAAACTGGTATTTATATACCATTATCTGATCTTATTCATGGACTTTCAATTGAAACAATTGCAACACTTGTTTATAGCAAACTTAATGAAAAAGAACAAACAACATCAACAGTTACAAAAGAACATGATTCAGATTTTGATTTAATTAATGAAAATGAAATTCAATTTTCTAATACATCAGCATATACTGGTTTAGAAAATATCATTTGTTTACATCGATCAAATCAAAATAATACTTCAACTCTTTTTTGTATTACTCAAATATCAAATGTTAATGATAAGAATAATGAAGATTTATTTACATTTTTTATTGATAAATTATCTGATCAAAAAAATAAAACATCATCAAATGATATCTATGCTTTACAAATACCAACAATAACATCATCATCATCATCTATATCTACATATGCTCAAAATCTTATTACACAAATGCGTCGTATTCAACCATGTGGATTTTATCAAATAGTAGCTATTCGAAATAAACCAGAAGAAACTATTGCTCATGAAATGTTAAAACAACTCGAAGCACATTCACTCATTACTAACACGCAATTACATCTTTTAGATGCTCACAATTAAAACATGTTCACAATTATTATTTAATCAAATATTTATTCTTATTTATTAAATCTATTTTATTTATATCAATTACCGTAGTATACTAATATTTCTAGATTTCTTAACAATACTAATAAATTTCTTCGATAAAATATTTTTTTGTAAAAACCTATAATAGTTAATTAACTCACTAACAATATTAAATTAATATTCTTTTTTATTATCTAATATAATGTCATAGCCACTCAATCAGTTCTTTTGTTTCATTTTGGGGTATTATTAGAAGATTGTACATTGATTTATTGTACTTTTGATAATAATATCACTCTCATATGATGTGATCATATTCTTATTTCATATTCTGAAACATCTATTTAGTTTTTCTTATCTTCTTTTTAATTTGTAGATTCTATTAAGCTTCTCATTTTATATTATTGGCTAATCAATATTTATTGGTTTATATCTTTATTATTATACAATGCTTTTACGTAAGCGACTGTCAGCAGTGGCAAATGTACACAAAGAGCCACAATTTACGACTTCAGAACGAACAGAATCTGTTGCTTCATTTGTTCAACAACGAATTTGGCTTCATGAACAGCTCTATTTTCATTCTTCTGACTTTTCTGTCTACAATATTTTGGTACCATTGATAGTCAAACAAGGTTCATTATCAATTGAACGTATTCGTTCAATTTAACTCACATTAATTGAACAACATAGTGTTCTTTGTACTATTGTTCGTTTTAATCCACAAAATAATCAAATCGAACAATATATTCAAGCTGCTACTGATGATATTTATTCATTTCAACATTCACGTGGTATTAGTACATCAGAACTGCTTGATCGATTACTTACCAAGGAATCGATAGAAAAAATTTTCGATTTTGAAAAAGGCAAAGTGTTAAGATGCCATATAGTGCAGCGACAAGATAATAATGCTGATGGTTTATTATATGAAAATGATATAATTGCTCTCAGTTTTCATCATATTGCATTTGACAACAGTTCACTTATGGCATTTATAAAAGCATTCAAACAAATAGATTTGGCTGATGAACAACAACCAATATTATCAGTTCCACAATATATTGATTTTGCATTATATGAACAAACATTGTTAGCTGATACAAATATAGATTCAAAAATGAATAAAGCACGTCGTTATTGGTCAAAACTTATGAATGGTTAAGATTGAAATCGAATACAAGATTTAGTACCTCATGAAAATAAAACTGATCAAATTCGTTCTGGTCGTGCTTATTCAACTGCATTTAGTTTTGATCAAATTTGTTGATGCAATGATTTCTTTTGCTTCATCAAATAATCTAGCAATGTTTTCATTATCTCTTGCTTGTTATTATGTATTTTTATATAAATTAATTAATATGGATGATGATGATTTATGTGTTGGAAGTGTTATAGCTAATCGAACAAAACAAGAAATGAAAGATATGATTGGCATGTTTATTAATCTTGTACTATATCGAATGAAAATGGAAGCAAATAATTCATTTGAATATCTGATACGAAAAATACAACAATTAAGTAGTGATGTTATAGAACATTCTTGTTTACCTTATCAACATATTATTAATTCACAAGATCAACAAAATCATCAAGTATTACCTTCAACATTATTTCAATATGAATCTTTAGTATCATCAGTGACAGCAAAGAATAATATTGAATCGAGTACTATTGAAGGAAATTATGTTCTTGCTGTTTATTTTGGTCGAGATCGATCACATGGTAATGGTGTTACAGCACTTGATCTTACTTTTACAATATCACATGATTATCATGCAAGAACTACAGAATGTTTTCTTGATTGTTCAATTGATATATTTCAAACTCAAAATAATGTTGATTTACTTGCAAATCGTTTTCAACATATGCTCAAACAACTTTTCTCTTCTTCTTCTTCAGTCATTCATGAACTAATCTATAAATTATCAATTGTTCTTCCAACTGAACAAGAATTTATTCATCAAATGAATAATACAGATATATCTACATCTTATTCATGGTTAAATACTATCCATGAATGTTTTATTCAACAAGTTCAATTGTATTCACAAAAATTAGCACTTGAATATTGTTTAATACGGCGGAAGGCAAGGGGAAACCACCGCTGTACACTCCCAAGCACAATATGATTAACGCCAAAACTTCCAGTCAAAATAACAGCGTGAATGGAGTTCTCAAAGAGAACATCTCGCTCGGTAGAGATGGTCATGTACGGCAGGTGACTCTCGATCGTCAACAGGCTACTGTCCGCACCAAGAATTCGCTCAAAATAGGAACTTGGAATGTAAGAACGATGTTCCAAAAAGGAAAGTTGGAAAACGTAAAGAAAGAAATGCAAAGGTTGCAGGTCAACGTATTGGGCATATCCGAAGTCAGATGGATGGGTGCTGGATCTTTTACAACAGATAACTTTACTTTATTCTACTCTGGTGGAGATCAGCATGAAAGAGGAGTAGGCATACTTCTTACCAAAGAAACATCCAAAAGTTTAAAAGGGTATTGGGCGGTTTCAGATAGAGTTCTTCTAGTAAAGCTTCACGGCAAGCCTTTTAACATCTCATTTATTCAATGCTACGCACCAACAGCAGACTGTGATGAAGATGCAATCACCAATTTTTACGAAGACCTAGACAAAGCCTACAAACAATGCAGCTCAGATGACATTATCTACGTCATGGGTGACTTCAACGCAAAAGTAGGAAACGAACGAATTGACAATACAGTAGGACCTTTTGGTCTAGGAAATAAAAATGACAGAGGAGATATGTTGATAACCTGGTGCCAATCACATAACCTTGTCATTACAAACACGTGGTTCAAAAATCATCCACGTCGATTATGGACATGGCGAAGCCCTGGAGACAGGGCTAGAAATCAAATAGACTGCATTATGGTCCCTCATCGATTCAGGAATTCGATCACCTCCTCTAAAGCATTTCCTGGAGCGGACTGTGGTAGTGACCATGTTCCAGTTATTAGTGATATTCGTGTAAAATTAAAAAGATTGAAACAGTCACAGCAAAATCCAAAGTTTCAAGTCCACATGCTCAAAACTAATCCAAACTTAAAAGAAAAATTCTGTATCAAGGTACAGAATCGATTTGAAGCATTAGATGGAATCACAAATGCTGAAGTACTGTGGGAACAGATGAGAACCTCTATCTTAGCATCTGCTCAAGAAATAATTCCAAAAGTTCAAATAAACAAAAAGAAAAGATGGATGACTGATGACATTATAAAATTAATGGAACAAAGACGACTCAAGAAGTCGCATCCATCCGAATACACACTAATAGACAAAGAAATAAAAAAGAAGTGCTCAGAAGCAAAAGAGAAATGGCTGGACGAGCAATGTTCAGAGATCGAAAACAATTTGAGTGTGAACACCAAACACGCTCATAAGAAAATCGATGAAATTGCAGGCAAATCAAGATGTACCAGCTCAGGCTGTATCAAATCAAAGAACGGAACCATCCTTATGGAAAAAACTGACATACTGAACAGATGGTCAGAATATACAGAAGAACTCTTCGATGATAATAGGTTGCCTAAACCCAACATAAAGAAAAATATAGAAGGGCCTTCGATTATGAAGGACGAAGTGAGACAAGCTATAAAATCAATGAAAACAAACAAAGCAACTGGTCCTGATGGAATATCTGTCGAAATGATTCAAAGTCTCGACGAACTAGGTGTTGATGTCATGACAAAACTAATAAACAACATATATGACACAGGTGAAATTCCAGAAGACCTGACAAAATCAATATTCATAGCCCTCCCAAAAAAGTCTGGAGCTACTGAATGTGAACTTCATCGCACAATCAGTCTCATGAGTCATGTGACAAAGATCCTACTCAAGGTTCTTATGATGCGCATGAAAAACAAAATCAGACCTGAAATAGCAAAAGAACAATATGGGTTCATGACTGATAAGGGAACCAGAAATGCAATCTTCATTCTTCGAATGATAATCGAAAGATCCATAGAGGTCAAACATGACATATATCTCTGTTTCCTCGACTACACAAAAGCATTTGACAAAGTCAAACACGACAATCTATTTCAAATCTTGGAAAAACTCGATATCGATGGCAAAGACCTACGATTAATACGAAATCTTTACTGGGATCAGAAAGCTGCCATGAAAGTAAACAGTGACACCAGTGAATACACAAATATCAAGAGAGGTGTCAGGCAAGGTTGTGTCCTTTCTCCAGATCTCTTTAACATCTACAGTGAAATGATACTCAGAAATCTGGAAGATGTAAAAGGAGTAAAAATTGGTGGCTATAACTGCAATAACATAAGATATGCAGATGATACTGTATTAATAGCCAGTACAGAAAAAGATCTACAGAAAATGATTGACATAGTCTCAAGTGAAAGCATAAAGATGGGACTATCACTCAATGTCAAGAAATCAGAATGCATGAGCATTTCAAAGAATAAAAATCCTCCGACATGCAACGTAAATATAAATGGAGAACCATTAAAACAAGTGGTTCGCTTCAATTATCTGGGATCCACCATAACATCAGATGGACGATGTGATGAAGATATCAAAAAGAGAATTGCTTTATCTAA